TTTAATTTATTTTATTTTTTATTTTTTTTTTGGTATAATTGAGTATGAAATGATTAATAATATCCTAATTCTCTTTTCCTTTTTCTGTCGCCCTCTATCTCTCCGTTTTTCTCTCTCTCTCTCTCGCTTTCCACTTCTAATTTGTAAATTATTTGTAACGTTGGATAAATAATTTTACTAAGTAGTAAAACCGTTTTCATTTTTCATTTTGAAATTATTTTTAACTTAATTAATTTAGTCTTTTCTGTAACATTTTTACCTATAGCATACTGTTTTTTTTTTTTCTAAATACAGTGCGTGCAAATGTATGAATGTTTTTTTTTTTTGAAGATTGATTTTAATTTAATTTTTTTTTTTAAAGAAACCATGGAATGAATTTAAGATTAATTGCAAAAACTAGTGTTTTTTTTTTCATTGAATTTATAATAAATTTATAACAATTTGAATGATTTTATCTTTCATTGAAGAAATTAATGCTTATGGAAACTATCCATTTGTTTTTTTTTCAAATTAATTTTAAAATTTTGAAAATAATAACTCGAAAATTAAAATAAAATGTATAATGTTACAAAATGAATTTTAGGTATTTCAGTGAAATTTGAATATAATTCCATTATTATATTATCTATTGTATAATTATGCACTTAACCATCAGCACTGGAAGATACTTTATCATTACCAGGGAATGAAAAATGTTTTGAATTATCAAATATTTGGAGTAAATAATTTAATTTTTAAAACAACATTTTGATTGATTTCACGTCTGGAATGCTTTTTCTTCTGTTAATATAATTCAATTACTGAAGAATTTAATGTGAATAGCGAATAGCTATCGACGAATGGCTTAAAAAATGGTGAAATTTGATTTCAATTTTTTTTTTCATACTACTTTTTTCTCCATCTTTCTTCTTTTTCTCTAATGCTTCTTCTAGTTAACTGTTATATTTTTCATCATCATTTAATGCTTACTTCATTGCTAAAATCGATTATTTTATTTTTTGTTTCAAGTTAAAATTGAAAATTATTACTGAACGTAAATGTAGTTGCTATTCATAGCATTCTATTAATTATATCGGTAATTTCAATTTTCTAATTAAGGAAACTAATTTCATCTTTTTTCCTTTTTCTTCTTTCTTTTCTTTTTTTGTTTTCAAAATAAATATGATTTTAAATATGAAATAAATATGAATTTTTTTTGAAAAAAAAAAAGTTTATTTATGGAATGACTGATGAATTGTTAAAGTAGTAGCTTATCACTGTTATGATTTAATCTCTTAGATGCTAATTGATGAAAAGGTATTTTGCATATTCTCATTTATTCTCATCTCCCTTTTACTTAGAGTTTGCAAAGAAAGAGAGAGAGAGAGGATAAGGAATAAGAGAGCTGAAAAATAATTGCTAAATAATTTGGTCATGTGAAAGTTTTAATCATTTTCTCCTTTCCTTTTTTTTTTCTTCCTAAATTTCAAATAGTTATTAAGGAAAGGAAAAAAAAAGCTTTTCTACATTTTGTATTTTTTTTTTTAATGAATTCATCTTTTCTCCTGATTTTTTCTTTTTTTTTCCCTTTCTTCTCTCGTAATATTTTGGCAATACTAACAATAACCTATCTACATCTTTTTCATTTTCTTCTTTCAATTTATGTATAAATTGAAACTTAAGTGCTACCACTTCTTAGCATGAAGAGATTACCGGAATAGTTTGAGTTGAAATATTTGAGATACGGTGCTTAAGTTAAATACTTCTTACCCGAATGTGTATCTTTATAACATAGCAGAACTGTTGTTGATCTTCTTTTTCTTTTTTTTTGTTCCTATTTTCTAAACTTTTCTCTGATGTACTTTATATTATTTTCACAATTTTTACATTTCTGAGATCATTTTTTTTGACTAAAAGATTTACAATTTATTATAAATATTAGCTAATTATTAGAAGGATGATGGCTAAGTTTGTAGTTTCGAATATTAATACTTAATTCCAAAATATATTTCGTTAATTCATAATCATCTCTATGTAGATATCTGTGTGTATGTGTGTGTGTGTATGTGTGTGTCTGTCTGTGCAGTGCATGTGTGTGTGTCTGTGCGTGTGTGATTATAAAATGAGCGCTTAACAAATTTTTACATTCCAAAAGTAATTTTCAGCATCATAGGACCAGTTTCAGTTGACATGTATATGCTTAAGCCGTTTGATTAATTAAATCGCTATTTTCTCCTTATATTTTGCATACTTTGAACAAAATGCTTGATAAGTTATTACTACGCATTAGGTAATGGACACGTTCTATGACTAATTAATTAGGATCCATAAGCAGCTTCTTAATTGATTTCTCACACTGTACAAATTATGATTTATTTATCATTTCATATCTGATAATTAAGTAAAAAGTCCATGATTTTTTTGATTTTCTAAATGTTTGATAAATGTTTCATTAAAATGTCAAGTATTTGTTAAAATTTTTTGGAAGCAAACATTTTTTTTCATGCATTCATGATTAATTATAGTCAATTATTTAATTAGCAATTTCCATTAATTATTTTCCAATTACATCCATCATAGTTTACCTGGTGTTTAGTAGTGACTTGTAGACTACCTTATAATTTAACATTGATAATATCAATTATTTATCATTACGCATTATTATTTCTTCATTTCGTCATAATTCTTTGCTTCTTTACTTTATTATTAACAAATAAACTTTTTTAAATTTTTTCAGAATAAGTTACACTGATCAAGTAATTTTTATAAGATAAATAAAAATGCCGCTTCCACCTGCGGTTGATAAATTATTACAAGATGTGGATAAGAAATTGCATGAAGAAAATGCTGTGACGAATTTGTTGGCACAAATTGAAGCGAAAGTGGGACTTAAACGATTACATCTTGTACTTGGTTAGTTTATTTAGTTCTAATATAAATATACAATTAAGTGAAGTTTATTTGTACCTTAGTAATATTTTGTTACGATTTATAATTTTAAAATATTTATTGAAAAGGAAGGCTATTAAATGCCTAAATAATCACGTTTATGTTTTGTTGAATGAATAACATTATATGAATAAAATTTCGTTTCCCTCGTTCTTTCTTCCATTTACCAATGACAAATTTTTCAAATTTGAAGTTTGAAAATTTTGGGATATGATCAATTAGTTTCTAAATCAGTTTATGTTGAAAGTAGCTTTTGGATACAGATTAGCTGTTGTAGTTTTTTTTCTTCTTTTTTCTGATTACGATAATCTTATCTCTCAGCGAAATGCTAATACGTTATTTTTTCGTTTTCTAGAAACTAATATAAATCACCTTTTTGATATATCATTGTATAATGTTTGTTGGAAAAAAAAAATCTTTTTAGGTTTTGTTGGAATTCATGCTCTGTATTTGATATTTGGATCTTTTGCTGAACTTTTATGCGATATCATTGGCTTTGTCTATCCGGCTTACATCTCGTAAGTGTTTCTGCTTGCTTTTATTTCCAACTGTGAGTTAATAAGATAATAATATTTAAATTTTAACAAAATGATTGCTAGTGATACGAACCATTTTCATAAGATTTTAACCCTGTTATCAGTTACTATAATAAATCTCCGGTTGTTCGCACAATTGGATATAACCTTATATTAACTGATGGAAAAAAAATATGATGCTTCTCGTCAAATATTCCCATTTAAATTAGGTTGTCCAGCAATCCTAATCGTTTAATTTTCTCTCCCTAACTATGTTTATCTTATTAACTTATTCAGAATTGCATTTGTTGCATTTACTTGCTTTTTTGTTGTAAGAGAGAGAAGGAAGTAAAAGCATTAGAGGGTAGTGGTTGTGGGGATAACTTGTGGAATAGTTTTAAGATAGTTTGGAAAAAGTGAGCAGGTGAACATGGATAAATATCGGTTTCGATTTAGAAGTCGGAAAATTCAATGACTGAAAGAGAAATATAGGTAAGATTTGTGGAAATAATTTTCACATTCAGCAAAATAGAAGTATGCAAATCGAAATCATGTACTAAATGGCATTCGCATGACTTTCGGTTATTACAAGTATATCGATGGTTGAAGTTGACTGTGAATATCGAAACGTTTTCCAGCTAATGTCTCTATGATCTTTAATGTAGCAGGTCTAGTTATAATGTTGTAGACCTCATGTGAATAAATTTTTTCTTTGTATATGTAAAGATGCTCGAAATATAAATACCGACGGAGTATGGGTGTGTCATCAACAAGTTGGTTTTTTAGAATCAGATCAGTCGAAACTTTTCATAAGGATGATGGCGCACAGTGGTTAACCTACTGGGTTATCTTTGCATTATTCAACATCGTCGAATGCTTTTCGGAAACATTCGTAACATATTTCCCGCTCTATTGGCTACTCAAGGTATATTTGTAATTTTAGTACCTAGTATATGAAAAGTTATCTTCTAGTACTGTTTCTTTCTGGTGTAGGTATAGTTTTTTCTTTTTCATCTTTCGGAAGTGACATATTTTACTGATATCATATAGGAAGTGTATTTTAAGGAAAGTGTAAAATACGAGAAAAACTATCATAATATTCAGTTAAAAAAAGTGATGCCATTCACCAACCATTACATTGTTTAGGACAGGCTGTTAGTGATGGGTAGAGTAAACTTCCAAATATTCTAAAGATGTTGTGATTATGGTATCAAAGCAGTATTAGATCAGTTCGTAAATTATTTGACTTTTTGTAGATGTTAAAGTGGTGGTAAATCAATTCATGTGTGTAGCATTAGGCAAAAAATACAACTTTTAAATACAGTGACAACTGTTTTGTTTGATTTGTCAAATGGCAATGATCGTAATATAATATACATTCGGTTATTTTTTGTTATACAATTATTTACAAAGTTAGCTAAGTCGTTTCTTGTTTAATATATGAATGAAAATTAGCAATGTAAAAATAAGCATAACGGTAGAAATTTATTCCGTATCAAATTAATATTTTGTCAGGGTGTTCTGCACTCACTAAATGGCTGTGGTTAGGATAGAGTTATAATGATGGTTGTGAAAAAGCATGAATTCTTGAAAAATCTCTTCAAATTATACTTCTAGTGCGATATCGTAATTGCTTGAACGACACCACTTTCATTTTCACTTACTGTACATAATTTTAACGAATATTTCAGTGAAAATTGTACGGAGCTACTTCCATATGATAACTTGATCCTAGCTTTCAGTTTATGGATTGAGTAATTGTTTACTCAATAAATGTTCTTGCTTTTAAACATCTTCCAGCGTTTCAGTTTCTTTTTTTAAAGAAGTTGAGGGAGTTTCTTTTTTTCTATTATCTTTTATTTTTAAATTAGCTTAAGTAAATCAGACGTTTCCTTAATTACAGTGCGTTTTCCTGTTGTATTTGTATTTGCCAATGACAAGGGGTGCGCAGAAAGTTTACTACCGTTTCATACAGTCATTCGTGCAGAAGCACCAATCAGCTATTGAAAAACAAATAGGTCGTGCGGCCGAGAAATTGACTGATAAACTTGATGGTTTGCTCTTTTCCCTTTCATTCTTCTTTCGTAGCAGTTTTTGTTATTAAATTTAAATGAAATAAAACTGGAATAAGTTCTGGAGTCAATTGGAGCAATTATCTTAAGTTGTTCTCTTTCAAAAATGAGAAGGTTTTTGGAAAGTGCTGGAGATCAGAAAGTCAGCTATCGGATTACTATACCAGTAGTTGTAGTTATCTAGTAGTAGCTGTTTCACTGACCATTCTGTTATGTTGTGTTAATGGTTGTGACAGTAGTGCCGCCTGCTATTTCACTAATTATTCTACCCATGTAAGTTGCTTTGTTGACTGGAAAAACTTTCTGCTGTCTTTACTGAGGGGGGAGTTTGACTGTGAAATAAATTATATACCACTTTCAAACAGTGTGTCCGTATAGCAGTGTGTATGAAAAGAGTATATTAGCATGGAAAGATTCCAGAGTAGAAAAAGATTGATCTAAAAATCCAAGCAAAACGTTTAATCAAAAATTAGACTGAAAATGATTAAGGTTGAAACAAAGAAAATAAATAAAGGACAAAAACATTCAGAAGTTTTAGTGAACAATTTAAAATAATTAGGAATTCTATCTCGATGTTAAAAAAAATTAACGAATGAAATAAGAGAAAGAAATTTCAGCAGTACGTCAAGAATTTGAGACGCACGTGAAACCGAATTAAGATGAAGTGAAATTGGACATGCATTGAGCAATTATTGCGACAATCAAATGTGAAAAGCTTAGCATCCTAAAAAAAAAAAAAAGTGGAAGAATATAATTCAGCAAACTGATGGATGAATGGTTTTAATTAGTTATGAAAGATATCTGTAAAGCTTTTATCAGAAGCCTTCTGCTTTATGTGTGCTTTGTCAAAACTGAAAACAGGGAAAATATCTTCCAATCATTTAATTTTTTGTGGTGTTTTCTTCCTTTTCTTTCTTTTTCTTATCATCTCTCCCTTTCTCCGTCATATCTTTGACAAAGGTAAAGTGAATTCAACTAGCATTTCCATGTGTGAAAAGTTTTCCCTACCCTAAATTCTATCCTTTTCTTTTTTTTTTTTTTATATTCGCTTTTTTAAAGCATTTCCATGCTAGGAATACAATGCGTATGTCATCCCTGAATTTATATTCCCTTTTTTTAAAATGTTTACTGTGTTATTTCTCATTAAAATTTACAAAAAATGTTTGTAGTGGCTTTTGTTTTGGCTAAAAATAAGATGAAAATTAAAATTCTTTGTTTGCGGCCAATCAATATTTTTTCTTATTCCTTGGTCCTTTCCATTCTCAGCCAAATATTACGATTGTTCTGAAAGATAGCGTTGTTGCTATTCATGCGAAAATGATAACGACTACACTTTTAATCCACCGATTATCTTCATCACACGGGAACATATGGGTATTTTTACTCCAAAAGTGGTGACGAATATGCATATAAATATATTAAAGTAATTGGATATATTAAAGTAATTGGGAAATATGATAGTTTGAAAATTGGTTTGCAACGATTTGACCAGGTGTACCTAGCGATGACATAAAAGTCATATTTAATTAATGAACTTCGAGGAAGCAGGAGATTTCTGAGTGGACACAAAATGAAAAAAAGACCAAGTGTGTACTTCTAGATTTATTGACTGTATTTAAACAAATAAAATTCAAAAAGAAAGACTCATACAATTCAGAAGCTAGATTTTTATAAATAAATAATGCAAGTAACACATAGTAATGGACAGCAATCACCTGCGTCCCAAAACAGTGGGAGATGTCAGGCCTAAGTGCGGTGTTACCGGGTAATTCCAAATAGTACAATCTATCAGCATTAAAATTCTGATATCGTTGAACAATGAACAATTTCTGATATCGTTTCCTCCTGAATTGTAACTTCGAGTCGAGAACTGCACCACAAACAATAAAATGCACCATACAGTGAAAGAGGCCAGATTTCCTGATGAATAACCGTTTATGATACCACCAACTAAATCAACTCCAAAAGATCATCGTTGCCATAGAAATCGTAAGGCTGATTGCTTTCCTCGCTCATGAGATCACAAGAACCTGTGATGAATTTTAACTAAAGCCAATTGTGACTAGAACAAATTATTTCTTCTTACGAGCAGCATTACGAGCATCACGTTCGATTTCAAACTGTCGATAATCTGTTCGAGATAAAAATTCCACACGATCAACATAACCTTTCTTCCCTCGGTTATGACTGGTCAGTTCTTCCTGCAATTTTAATTTCAGGGTGAAAACGAGCTTTAAAATCTTTTTTTCAAGGCAATTTCTACTTTCACAAGGGCAATGTACGCTTCCAAAATCCTTATGGCATTGAGACGATTTCATTCGATATAACTGAAACTAGAAAAAAAAAGTAAAAGAACGACGTGATCAAGAATATTTTTGAAAAAAACGATCCCACAAAAACAAAAAGGAAAACGAGAACCTGAATTCCTGTCTCATTTTTGAAAGCTCCCCAATCCTGCGCTGTTTTTTCGAGTACACTCACTTTTGCTTTCTTCGACAAAGCACTAATTGCGCTTGTCAATCCATCCGAAGCCTTTCTCCTAAATGTTTATTAATAATCAGAGGTTCCGCTTACTTCATTTCATTTTTCGTTAGGTTCACTTTATTTCATTCGTAAGCACTAACTTTTCACTTTGTACTAGTTCAGACGTCTTCCCTTCCCTTCCATAAAGTTCTGGTTTGTCCTTCAATCTGAAATAGAAATAAGATAACAGTCACGGTTAACCTATGAAAGAAATCTGAATATTTCAGCATAATAAAACATCAAAAGATCAAACGGCGAAAAAAATGGATCAAAAGATGTCAGGAGAAGGAACGATTTGCATTCACTACCGTGTGTTCAATGTCACGAGACCATACCTAGACGGGAACCTTCGAAAATGGTATGACTCTCTTTCAGCTAATTACTGGTTATAATTATTTCATTTATAAAAAGTCGGTTAATTATAAATGAAATTAACATCTCGAAATGGAACGTACGAAACATCCCTCCTGTCTGGTACACCACCGAAAATGTCGTCAGCCGTTTCCGTAGATAATTCCGGAATTTCATGCTTAATCATCGATACTCGTTTATCATCAGCAGTGGAACTAAATTTTAAGCACTTAAATATGTAAATAAAATGTATGAAAATAGAAAATCGACTTCACTCTGCTGTTTTTCAAACCGGATTAAATTTTTCAATTTGGATCATCTTCCGAAAATCTTACGTGGGTAGTGCTTCGCTGATTGATGATTTTGGCTTAGCATCACTTCCTCCGATGAATTCCTCAAACAAGGATTTCAACCTTAGCTGTCGTTCATCTTCTGTTTCCCCTGATTTATTCGTCTCTCTTGAAATAATGAACTATGGAAACCCTTTTCGATGGAATCATATTTGACTACTCTTGTCTAACTCAGTTTTGGCACAAAATCTTACAGACGGAAAGGACATGAGAAGAGAGGTAAACATAATCGAGAGGCAAAAAGGTACGATATTATGGATTTCATTAAATCAGCTTATAAAGCATTCTGTAATAAGAGAAGAGATTCTGAAACTAGGGAGGCAAATAGGTTTTAGTTTAAAATTTGGTGGGGGAACGGCTGGATTGAATAATCCCATGTTGCCACTGGATTATATTTCTCTTAAAGCCAGTCTATTGACAATATCAGTTTTGCAAGTTTCAGAACCTATAAGCTTTATTTCTATGCGGTAATGAAACCGGATCATTGCGGTAACCGTGAATGTTAAGGAAAAAGGAATATAAACATCGTTTCTTACCGACCAAAATATCACTTATAACATGTAAAATTGAGTCAAAGTTTTAATTACTTACTTTAATTCCTGTAATGCTGTCATCGAATTACTATTCATCATATCACCATCATTACTACTTCCTCCACCGTTCTCATTTGGTTCATCATCTTCGACGTCTTCTTCGGGATTCGATGGTACATATTCTTCATCATCTTCCGAACTACTCTTTTCCTCGTCGTTTTCAAACATTAGCTAACTTAATCAGTAGAAAAATATAACTATGTAAATTTAAATTTTTCAAAAAAATCAGATAAAAAGTACAAATTTTTACCAAAATTTTTTCATGGTTTAGAAATAGTCAAATTCCTGGGAGAGAAAAAAGCGCAAAATCACGTGAAAAACGTTTTTCACTTTTTGTATGTTTCATGAAATTAATGAAATATGCGGACAGACAAGTACACAAGCACAAATCATATATAGCACGCCGACCCGCACGAACATGTGACATGCAAGCGAATTGCTCTAAGCAACTGTCGAATGATGAATGGAAACAAAACGAATTTTACAATTATCAAACTTCGTATAGCTGTAGCTTTTCATCGATGACCGATTGAAATTTTGATTTCTAGTTTGGGTTGATCAAGCGAAGTTAAGGTCAGGGACTAAATGTCGTTTTGCTTATGTGAAAATGCCGTTAATGCGATGAGACTTCACGGAAATTTGTAACAAAATTGATTGAAATTTTGCGCAATCTTAGATTTCGTTGGGAAATTTGATGAAATTTTGCAACGAAATGATATTTGACCTTTTCTTTGACAATAATTGCTTGGTAGTATTTAAATCATGCATTCAAAATTTGGGCATTGTTGGTATATCTAAAGGATTTTTTTCCCAATGAACACATGTCTTTTCTCTGAGTATTCTCTTAATAATTTCCAACAGTTTTTGAATCTATTTCGTTTCTCGTTTTTCAGCATTTAAACTGATTGAATTTAATATTAGAAGTTTTTCCCTTTCAATTTCACTGTAAATGAAGGGTAGAATTTTGGAAGGTGGGTAAAGAAAAAGAAGCGGGTTTAAGAAGTTAACGGTTGGAAATCCACTCAGATATCTGTTTGAGATGCCTCTAATAAAGATTATATGGGATAAGTCTTGTATAGTTATTCGCGTCCTTTCTCTCTCCCTTACAATGTTAGCTTTTATTAGTTTTGTCTTACCTTTATTGTACTATTATGTCTTTTGGAATTTCGTACTTTACATTTGCATACTTTTCTTATTTCGTATTTTTTTTTCTTTTAAATTGTATAATATGATCACATTCTTGTTTGAAATATTCGTTTTTGATAATGACGATGTTGCTTTTGTGCCTTAATTATGACTAAACGATTCCATGGTATAAAGTCAGGAAAAATATCGATTCTTTTTATTTTTTGTTTTGTTTTCGTTCTATCGAATTTTTTTGCTAAGCCATATGCAAATACCGCCAAAATTGATCATTAATATAAATTTAAAGTAGAGGAAAAATGGATGGACTTATACAAATGTTACCGCCATCGTTAAGAAAATTTTCCACATATATCGATTTTGTTGGACAACGGAGAGCGGAACGAATTTTTCAAGTAATATTTCCATTAATCATTTCATTTAATTGAAGGATTTCTACGTCCCCTCACAGCTTCGAAAAAAGAGGAAAAATCCACTAGATATTATTTATCCAGACATGTAGATAAAATTTCCAGTTTGTTTGAAGGATTTGATGCAGTTCCTAACAGCGAATATCATCAGAATGAAATGATTGTGTAATTGTCGCACTTTTTTCGATGTCATACTTTTATGGTTGTGAAGTGATTATGGTGAGAATAATGTGGTTGAAAGGATTTATCCTGCTAGAATCGTTTGAAAATATGGTTACACTTAATTACTGAATAATCGTAATAGTGTCTAGTCTTCATATACAACCTGTAGATTTTATCGTCAAGACTTCTAGACTTTTAACTTTGGCAGTTTTAAATTCCATAAAACTTCATTTTAAATTACCGTTTATAGGTTATATTAGTGTTAGCGGCAGTAATCGGTTATGGTATTGGTTATGTCACGCAGCAACTATCGTATGCCATTTATACGGTATTCTGTGGCTTTATCCTGTCGTGTATTCTCGTTATACCACCATGGCCATATTTAAGACGTAATCCAATACATGTAAGTATTGTCACACTCGTGTCCACGGGGTTTTGTTTTCCGTTCAGTTTTTCGTATTTCATATTTCCTCTGTAAGTCATGGAAATTTTCGATATAAGTCGTCTTGTTTTCCCAGATGTTTCTTTGCTCACTTTACCGTTTTCAAAGTTCTTTATTTCTAATTCCAATCAACCAATTTGCAGTGGCAGCCCGCTCAAACGACTGTACCATCGTCTACGAATGTTCCATCGAAAGAGAAAAAGAAAACGAAATAAACTGAGAGACTTTTATAGGGATCTTTTTTCTTAGATTTTCCAGAATTAATTTATTCTCCTATTCCTTTATTTGTTAATGTTTTTTTTCTTTCGAAGAAATGAATAAAATTTTCTCCTAACTGTATGTTTGTTTAATAGCTATTTTATTGCCTAATCTTTTGGCTTAATATACCTATTCTCATGATGGATTTACTTAGATATCAGACAGAACACCCAAAAAGAGTCTAAATTTGTGCGTAAAGTATTCGGTGTGATACTCAAGTTCTAATCAGAAATTTCACATCTTGAAACATTATTATTTCGATAGCCTGATATTTTCCATAACTTTGGGTGATGGATTCTGTCATAAATCGAAGTTAAGAAATTCAATGAACGATTTTGTTCTTGAAGGATATCGTATAAAGGCTGTTTGGTTGTTTCGTTCTAATTTGTTATAAGTTCTAGTTTGTCGAATTAAAGATCCTTAAACTGAGATTCCAGAGTTTTTTCTCATTTGGTTCAAACGTTAAAATTGGTTTGCAACTAGCACTAATCGGAAAGCCATTCATCGTTACAGAAAATATATGCGCCTGTCATTGCAAACGACTACCCGATGCTTGAGGAATATCGAACAAAATGGTCGTTTTTTCCGGCAGTTAAGGCCTCTTTCGGTCCAACCTTATCATATTGCAGTATCTGGAAGCTGTAATTCTTCAAAGCGACAGCTTTTAGCCTTTCCCAGAGACCGATCATCATTTGGTGCATCTCATCGATTTTACAGCAAGTAAATTCAATACCACTTAAATTATTCTGGTTAGCTTTTTGACGTAGCAGTATTGTTTGCGAAAATAACTGAAGGTTATCTGTCAAATTTTCATTATTAACCATTGCAATGTATCTTCCAGCTTACTTCTTTTTTCTTTTCAGTCCACATGAAAATGGGAACGATAATGATGATAAAACCCCGAATGATACGAAAAATAAGGACACGGCAATCGTGGAGCAGGTCGAAGATATGTTAGGGGGAGTAAGTAATTTTGATTTTAATTTTCATGTAAGTGGTTTATAGGAAATTTGACATAGATTTTGTGGATATAACTTCCTTTTTGAGCCGATAATTTTTTTGAGATTCTATGCACATAAAGTTTTTTTTCTTTTTTCAGCCGATGAGTACGATTACTGTTCCAGAAGTTTGGCCTATTGTGCCAGTGATTGCTATCTCAAGAAAACCACTCTTTCCTGGCTTTATCACACGGGTTATGGTAAATGTATTTCAACTTTTTGCGAAATGTTTTTATATCCATTTCTAAATTTTTTGAAATATTTACAATTTAAGAAATTTCACGAAACGAGAAACAGTAGGGGTTAACCATTCAACACAAGATTTACGTCCATGGTTTATTACTTATCTTCAGCTAGGAAATACCACTATCTTGTTTCTATGAAAACAAAAACTGTTCCTAAAAGCGAGCAGCCTTGAAAAGAAGATATGGTTTAATGCTAGTTAATTTGAAGTAACTTGCGTGTGACGTAGTTAGCATCCTAATAACACTGGAAGGCAATGTTCTGTGATCTTGGAATTAGTGCAGATTTTATTAAGATCGCTAAAGATCAAGCATTAATGGAATTGTTGAGAAGGAAAGTGCGGATGCGTCAACCATATGTTGGAGTTTTCATGAAAAAGGATCCTGAGTGAGTTCGAGATATCTTTTTTTTTTTTGTTGCAATCCAACTGACTAATTGTCATTATCAATTACATCTTTCAACTGATTTTTCCTTTGCTAAATATAATATTTTGATAAAAGGTAATAAAATCGCAATATTGTATAAGTAAAAGAAAAAGAAAAAAAAAACTGATGTGTAATGAATTTGAAGCGTTTTGAATGATTACTGTTGTGATGGTTGGGATTAAAAGCTCATTATCTAAGTTGAAGAAGAAAAGGCTATGAGGATGACGGCTTTGGACATAGAAGTTTATTAATCGAAGCATAACACTCAGCTAAATAACTGGAATATTAGTTAATTGAGGGAAAATGATTGTGTGGGGGCATTTAGTTAATTGAAAGAGAACGATTATGTAAATGAATAGAATCGAACGGACTTTCTAGGTGAGAATTTGAAAAGTGTAAGGCCGATATTTCTTGTTTCCATTGCCTTGATTAGCCAGGCTGCGTTATTATTCTATTTATGCAATTTCAGGAATGATTCTGAAACAGTGGAATCCTTGTCTGAACTTCATACAGTGGGATCATTCGCACAAATCAATGTTATGGGTGATAATGGTGACAAAATAGAATTGGTTCTGGTCGCTGAAAGGCGCATACGTATTTTAGAACCGGTTGCTGATGATATTGATATATCGTAAGCGATATTTTGTTGAACTTTCTTCACAGTTAGACTTCCCAACTGATTTCTCTTAACTTTGATATAATAGCTGAAATAGAACTTCAAATTTCCCAGTATTTTCGGCAAAATTTCTTGCTCTGTTCAGTGAAAATATTGGCAAAATAAATGGTAGAAGGGTACGTCAAGAGCGTCGTAAACTGGTGAAAGAAAAAGGGAAAGATCAAATTGCGTTGACTACATCTCCAAAAGTTACTCTAGCTCGAACGGAAAATATTGTTTCTCAGCCTATTGAAAGAACAACGGAAGTTAAAGTATGTCTTCTCTTTGCTACCAATGAAAACTGTGGAGTAATACTTGATTGGTGATGTCAAATGTCGTGTGATTAAAAATGATTCAGTTTTTCAAGTGTTAAGTATAGATTTTATTTTATACCTATGTGGATCCTTATACATATTCTGGAACTAGAATATGATCAAATTTATCTATGGTGACAAATAAGACACTTATTGGATGAGTATGTTTCAGTTTCAGTTCGTTAGTTTGAGACATATTGAGTTAATTCTTTTATAATCATCCCTATCCAATTTTTTCAGGCAACAATGCAAGCCATAGTTAGTACAATTCGCGATGTGATGCAATACAATACGTTGTTTGCACAACAACTTGGCTTAACGGCAAATCCATCGAAAAATGTAGTTGACAATCCTATATATCTGTGTGATTTAGTTGGCTCGCTTGTAAGCGCTGATCCCAACGATTTACAAAATTTAATGGATGAAGAAGTTGTAAGTTATCCTGAATCCTTCATTGTGTTAGAAATCTTTGTAATTACGAAGCTTGTGAACTGTAATTCATGCTTTAGGTTGAAGAACGTTTGAAGTTAGCTTTGCTGTTGATTGAAAAGGAGAAAACAGTCGCAAAATTAAAGCATGATATTAATAAGGATGTGGAAAAGAAAGTTCATGATCAACATCGTAAATTCCTTTTGAATGAACAGGTGATTTTGAAATTTTCAATCTATTGAATATGGTATTGAAGTCTGAAAAATCTTCTTTACAATTTCAGTTGTTCAGATTTCCCATTGTTACATATCTGTTTAGGAAAAGCAGTTATCCGAAAATTTCGTAATATGATAAATCAATTTTTGCTCTAAGCTCTTTACTGGAGGTTATTTATCCGGTTTTTGAAACTTCCGCAATCCTACACCATTTTTGGAAGTTAAAGTTAAGCATTTAGGAACATTTTAATGATTTTTCCATGGTTAGAATTTTCAAATTTATCCGACTGAAGAATTTTAGCTGAAAGCAATCAAAAAAGAACTTGGATTGGAGAAAGATGACAAGGAAGCTCTGGCAGAGAAAATGCAAGATCGCATAAAAAACCTGAATGTCCCCGAATATGTCATGAAAGTAATTAAGGAAGAGCAAGCCAAATTATCCTTTCTGGATCCACATTCCAGTGAATTTTCAGTTGCAAGGTGTGGTTTTACATGCTTTTATTCCTTTTTTGGTGAATTTCAAATACCGTCAAGTTTTTTTCTTTTTTTTTAAAAATTTGAGACATCTTCATTTCTTTCTTTTTTTTTTACGATATCATCCAGGAATTACTTGGATTGGCTAACGAATATGCCATGGGGTAAGACATCGGAGGATGTGCTCGATTTGGACAGAGCTATTGCCGTGCTAGATGAAGACCATTATGGAATGAAGGATGTCAAGGATCGGATTTTGGTACGTTATTGAAAGCGAATACAGTCAGAGCACTTCCGTCATCCTTTCTTCTTGTTCTTACGTTTTCATGTACGATTAACTCTAACACTTTACTGAAAACTAAAAAAGCTTTTTGAGGTCAAGTTTTTATCCTTTATCTTGTACTATCTAGGAATTCATTGCAATTGGTATACTTAAAAAGAAAGTAAGTGGTAAAATCATATGCTTACATGGACCGCCAGGTACTGGCAAAACGAGTATTGCCCGATCAATTGCCCGAGCATTAAACAGAGAGGTAAGTTTTTTTTCCGTTTTTAGATTTATTATCGGGCATATTTATACAAAACTGAATTTTATACAAATAGATTTATGCTTATCAACGACTTTCTTGTGTAGTTTTTAAAAAATTTTCAGTACTTTCGATTTTCTGTTGGTGGAATGACAGATGTTGCAGAAATCAAAGGACATCGTCGTACATATGTTGGAGCGATGCCTGGGAAAATGATTCAATGTTTGAAAAAAGTTAGATTTTTTCAGGATTCCAGATACATATCTTTTACTTCTATACATACTTCAATGTATTCTGTTTTCCTTTTGACAAGTTCTTAAGATCCATTTCTTTCTTAAGGTGCAAACGGAAAATCCACTAGTTTTAATTGATGAAGTAGATAAAATTGGTGGTGCAGGTTACCACGGTGATCCATCATCGGCGTTATTGGAGCTATTAGATCCAGAACAAAATACCAATTTTAATGATCACTTTCTCGATGTTCCTGTCGATTTGTCGAAGGTTAGTTCGGCAGTTTATTTTGCTGGGAAATGTTGCAAGAGTTGCCTATCAAATTGCTTAGCTCAGACTGTAGCGCAGTGATTCGGTCCGAAAGTGGAACTTATTGAGCGGGTAGTGAATTTCATGTTTTTAAGTCGTTTTCAAACTGAAATAAGCTTATTTATTTCTAGGTATTATTTCATTTGCACTGCAAATATTACGGATACCATTCCGGGACCACTAAAGGATCGCATGGAAATGATCGAAGTCTCGGGTTATGTTGCAGAAGAAAAATTAAATATTGCACAAAGTTATTTGGTACCTCAGTGTCGAAAGGATAGGTCATTATTATTCTAATATTTTCCAGGAATTTAAGGCATCTTTAAATATATGTGGTGACATATTTTTGGCGGACTGCAGACTTTATTAAATTTAAATTAAACATTAAGATTAGAAAGATGAAGGGGAATTTGAATAGAACAAGCATAGAAAGTCAAAGTTATCGGTTTATCTAGTAAAAAGTACTAAGTAAATAAAGGTATTTTTTAATATTTGTTTCTGGGTTTCACCAGTGCAAATACTGTACGTTCGAAAAGGTTTCTTTCCAGCTCACTGGAAGAAAGTCAACTTCAGATAGCTCCAGAAGCATTGCAGACACTTATCAAGCACTACTGTCGGGAATCTGGTGTTCGAAATCTTCAGAAGCATATTGAGAAGGTGTACAAAGGTTTTCCTCTTAATGATAAGTTGAAATTTTGTAGGAAGTTGCATCGGCCCACTTTTTAAAGGATGGTTCCTCCGTTAGCACCTTAACTAAAATGCAGGTAGGTGCTCAGCAAAGGGACGAAATCCACTGCAAAAAGATTTTCTGTACTTTGCAATGTGATGTCAATATAACTTACAGTAATTGTTTTTGCCATGTGGTCCATGGATGCAGTTATTTATTTTCCACCATTTATTTTTTCATTTATTTTTCAGATATTTCGTAAAGCAGCTTTCAAAATAGCCGGTGGAAACAATCAGAATAATGTTCAAGTAGTTGTTGATAATCAGAATATCGAAGACTTTGTCGGAAGACCTAAATTCACCAGCGATCGTTTATACGATGCAACACCCATTGGTGTAATAATGGGTCTTGCATGGACAGCAATGGGTAAGTGTGCCAATTTTCCGGAGCACCAAGCAGTCTGAGAAAAGTTACGAGTTAGCTGAAAACAAATAGTTCTTACTATTGATATTATTATTGGTATCATACTGCAATGGCTGATAATTTGACTTTATATTTAAACACATCAAAAGTTTTCCAGGCGGATCATCCTTGTACATTGAAGCATGTTTACGACGGAGCTTGGCTACATCTAAATCGACTTTATCACGAAACCCAAGTACTGACAGTGGATTTTCAAACGATTCACCGAATGATGTAGTTAACTCATCGAAACCGGATGCAACTGTTCCATTTGGTAGTTTAGAAACTACTGGACATTTGGGTGATGTCATGAAAGAGAGTATGCGTATTGCTTACACGGTTGCTAAGAATATCCTTAGGAATCATTTTCCGGATAACGACTTTCTCGATAAGGCACATATACATGTCCATGTTCCAGAGGTTTGTTTCAATTTTCTCAGTTTTTTCTTGATATCGCAGTCCCATGGAAACATTGTCTCTCCGGACGCAAGTTTCGAGATTCGCACATTTTGTGCTTGACGGTCGATCCTTCGATTTTGTAGGGTGCAACACCGAAAGATGGTCCATCTGCAGGTTGTACAATAACATCAGCTTTATTGTCACTGGCTTTGAATCAACCAGCTCGACAGAATGTTGCAATGACGGGGGAAATTTCTCTCACTGGAAGGATATTACCAGTTGGTGGAATCAAAGAAAAAGTTATTGCTGTACGTCATTTGAAATTTTCTATATAATAAGTTTTTCACTTGAAATGTCGGATTCCAAACATCATTTTCAATTGCATGAACCAAATGTTATTTATTAAGCATGGATATTTAAAAAAATCTTACAAGTAGTTTTTACTGCGAATGAAATGTTGAGGAAATGTCTTTTTCCTTCCTTTTATTTTTTAAGAATCATTATCCATTCACTGCTGTCATACGTTACAAATTTAACGTTGTCCTGTAGTTAATCCGTTGATTTTATAGGCTAAAAGAGCTGGAGTGAATTGTATTATATTACCCGAAGAGAATCGAAAAGACTTCTCGGACTTGCCAGACTTTATCCGAAAAAATGTGGATGTACATTTCGTTTCATGTTATGATCAAATATACGACATCATATTTCCAGATATGAATTAATATGTTATGTTTATTAGTAAATATTCCATCTTGATGATTAATTGTGCATTTTCTTCACTTTTATGAGATGTTTTTATTTTTGAGGAATTTGGTGATCTGAACTTTTATTGCTTCCAGTGGTCCATCTATTTAAGAGAATCTTCAACAAATCTTTTCGAGTTTGGTGATAGTAAATAGAAATACCTCTATCATGATTCATATATTAGTGCACAGATATAACGTATTTTAGGTGATTTTTCTTCTTAGCTTCATTTTATAACTAATCTTTTCATTACAGTGATATTACAGTGATATGTTTCCAGATCATAACCATAGCAATAGTTCTTGTCAAAAAAGATGAACGCATGAATGATTCATACGATTTCAGTGCTTTCTTAGATTCATGATTATAGGGTATTCATCATTTTGCATATCGGTTGTTCATGATGATAAATATGCAAAAATGACGAATGTGCGATGACCATAGGGTATTATTCCACGCCATGTTCAATGTCCTGATAAAGTCGCTTTGTGTGTGTGTTTTGAAAGTTGCAGTAAAAATGTAAATTTATGATTAGTTAAAATTCTTCACTTCAGGATTCATTCTTTAATCATATTTTGGAACTGTGTGGTGTGAATAGGCAGTGATGGTTCTCCTGGATTTTCCATTTCGAAATAATTGAGTTTTCATGCATTTAGTTAGTCAAAAAAGTTTCTTCTTTCATGAATTACCTGTCTTTTGTTTACATGAATAGGCGTATTTTGTAAGGATCGGCAAAGTTGCTCCGAATTTCGAGCAGTTTCTGTTATGTCACGTTTTATCCAGTTGCTTAGAATAATGCATGGGAACTGATTGTTTCCGATGAATTTCATGGCAAATAATTCTGAACTCAGTTATGCGACTTCAATTATTCTTGCGACATTCACTTCTGCGTCGTCACTTCTCCGCTGAAAGGTTTGATGGCAGAATTCCTTTGGAATGTTTGCAAAAAACAGTCTCTTTTCGGGAGGATCGACAAGCTCCTCAGGTTGAAGTCCGTATTCCATTGAAAGCTGATTGGATCCCAACGAGAATAGCGGAAGATCTAAGATTACGTTATCCACACAGAATTGATCGGTTAGTTTTGAATTTTTGGTTCCAAACTTTAAAATTAATTTAAAAGGGTTTTGAAATTCTCGGTGTTATTTATTTTATTTTAACCGCAAGACGTGCACGTTATACATGTTGTAAATAAAAATTATAATATCCTTCATGTCTAAAATTTTTGCTGAACAAATTTCAGATAAAATAGTTGATTAACTGAAAGACAGTATAAAAACGGAATGCGAAATATCAGGTGGTGGTTGAAGCATGAATTTATAGATATATAAATTCCAGTTTGTGAGCGTTCGGAAAAAAACTTTTGATATACGTAGTTGTTTTTTGCAATATGTTTATTATTGCCCTATTTAATCTCCATTTATCTCCATTATCGTATTTTCTTGTCAGTAATCTTCTATCATTTTAATTTCAAAAACATCGGAATTATTGAACTGATGATCTTTTGCAGTAATAAGAAATACATAACATCCCAACTGGATCTGATCATTAATTTTTCCAGTTTTCGCTATTGCTATACAATGCTGGAAATAACAATAATGTCAGGTGTTTAGGAATGTCGAATTTGTTCATACTGGTGGGATAAGAATATCATGTGCTTGATCAGAAATGAAATGAAGTCAGTTGAAGCCAGTCTGAACAAAACCGTTTTTTTGCAGGAATGGTCTATTGGTGATTGAATCATGTCGGACTTATTCAGAGCAGCTGAATATGGCTGATTGTATCGATAAATTACGCAGCGCAATGCTGGAATGTCAGGCGGTTTTGGATGGTGTGAAAAACCATGATGCAAAATTAGACTCAAGAGTCGAAGTGAAACTTGATATTAAGCGACGACTTGCTGCATTCGAAAGCAAAGTATAGGTGTCATTATTCCCGTTTATTTATGGGTGTACTTTCCAATATTTCCTACGGTAAGTGAATTTGTATACCTCTACTTTTCATGAAAAGTTTTCGAGAAATGTTGAGCCATGGATTTTAGAATGACAGTGGTCGAAAACATATGACTCGAACTAGTTCTGAAAATAGATTCTG